CCGGGCCTGGGGGGGCCGCGCCCGGTGAAGCGCCGGGGCACCGCCAACCGCAAGGAGCGGCGCAGGACTCAGAGCATCAATAGCGCCTTCGCCGAACTGCGCGAGTGCATTCCCAACGTGCCCGCCGACACCAAACTCTCCAAAATCAAGACGCTGCGCCTGGCCACCAGCTACATCGCCTACCTCATGGACCTCCTGGCCAAGGACGACCAGAACGGCGAGGCGGAGGCCTTCAAGGCGGAGATCAAGAAGACAGACGTGAAAGAGGAGAAACGGAAGAAGGAGCTGGTCAGTACCGGGGGACAGAGGGCGGTCGGGAGTGTGGGTTTAGGGGCCGCTGCTCCGGACTTCTTCCCAGTCTGGCTGAGAGGAAGCACCCCGCATTCTTTGGCTAAGTGAATTACACCAGGTTGTGCCGGGGATGGCTTCCTGCTTGGGGGAGGATTCTGCTGAAGGCGGAGAGGTCTTAGTAGAGACGCTTGGCAATTCTGACAGTCCCTCCAGGCACTTAGGAAGAGCTTCCCAAACTCGTTATCCAGAATGATGGCGCACTGGCCCGGACCCCTCATTCCGTACCCTTTAGAGCCTTCATTTGGCCTCTAATCTGACCTTGCTTTCAGGTATTTCTGATGAAAGAATAAATTCCAATTATTTCACCCTCTAAAAACGAGATTGCCACTGATTCTGAACTCTAAGAGAGTTTTATAGTTGCCCTTACTTCTATGTCCAAAAGACATAAAGGTAAATATTAGCATAAGTACTTTGAACCTCAAAGTACAGCTCAAGTTTCTCTTTGGCTGTGATGTTTTACTTGAACAAGCCAGTACATTTTAAAACAAAAATTTAAAAATTACTATAGTAGTTGTTATTAGGAGTAACACTAAATGTTACTGAGCCATTTAAAATTTCCTCAGGTTCCTATCAAGTGCCCACAGCATGGTAGTGTGCAGGACACCAGGCTATTGCCATGTACACCTGAAAAATAATTCCATTTCTTGAGACGGGTCTCCTTTTGGGCAACCGACCCTTTGATGGCTGCATAAGCAAATGACTAGAAATTTCACAGGCCTTAGAGGAGCTTCTGAGTTGGAAGCCTAGAGCCAATGGCTGAAAGGCCCTGGCTGAGCAGAGTGGCCTTCGGCCCATTTTTCTTAGAACGTGGATCTGGGATTGCTACTGAAAACAGAAGGCGCATTTAGCACCCACCCAGCCCCACTATCGACCGCACTTACATCTGAGTCAGAAAAAAAAAAAAAAAAAAGACCCTGGGCTCCTCTGTAAAGAACTCAAAAGTGGGAGATTGTTTATAAACTTGCTGATCTGGTAGTTGAGCACTGCAGCACGGAGGCCATGGTGGTAGCCAGGGCACTGCAGACCCTAGCTCACTTTTCTGCAGGGCCTGGGACTTGGAGCCGACCCTCCTCCTCGTTCTCCCTGTCTCTCACTCTCCTGGCCCAGGAAATGCTGGGGTAGCTTGGGACCAGGTATCCTCTCTGATTTTCTTTCCTTTCTTCTCCTTCTTGCCTCCTGTCTACCCAGAACGAAATCTTGAAAAGCACAGTAAGCAGCAATGACAAGAAAACCAAAGGCCGGACAGGCTGGCCGCAGCACGTCTGGGCCCTGGAGCTCAAGCAGTGAGGAAGAGGAGGAGGAAGAGGAGAGAGCGAGTGAGCAGGGGCCAAAGGGCCAGACACAGACCCAGGACTCCCGGCAAGCCCTCGGCTCCGGCTCCGGCTCTGGCTCCGCTCTGAGGACTACTTGCATTTGGATCACCCGGTTTATTTATGTGCAATTTCCATCCCCCTCTCTTTGCCCCCCTTTGAGGCATCTGTTCCCCACCTCCCCCTCCAAAAAAGTGGATATTTGAAGAAAAGCATTCCATATTTTAATATGAAGAGGACACTCCCACGTGGTAAGGGATCCCTTCGACTCATAGATTTTGTGTGTGTGAATGTTCCCTGTTGGCTGTGTAGACACTACCGTTGCCCCTCCTCACCTAACCAGCCCCTTCCAGATAAAGACAGCAGACACTAGTGCATATGTGAAGTGTATCTTTAATTCCTGGCCTTTGGATATAAATATTCCTGGGGATTATAAAGTTTTATTTCAAAGCAGAAAACAGGGCCACTAACATTTCCGTTGGGGTCAGTAACTAGTGCTGTCCTTTCATTAGTGACCATTCCCTATTCAAAGATGTTTCCAACAGCTACTTGTTTTGTGCACTTCTGTCCTCTAAAACTAAGTGGAATTTAATTAATATTGAAGGTGTAAACATTGTAAGTATTCAATAAACCACTGTGTGTTTTTTTTTTACAAAAATCCTAATCTTTTAATGGTTGATACCTCAGAAGAATTTTGAAAACAAAGCTGTTATACTTGTTTTCATAATATTTAAATATTCAGAAGTAAACTAAATTATCATACCTGCCTCTAACTTTATTTGAAAGAATCAGTGGTTCTGATCAATCAGCATGTCTTCCCTGTCCCAGTGCAGCTAAGGAGGCACTGTTAAGAGATGTGCCCTTGGTGAAAATTCTGCCATCACCCTGGGCACTAAGTCTTGTTCCTTTCCTTCTCCCCCAAGCTCCCAGGAGACCAGTGAGTGACCTGTAGGACACGTGTCTGGGCCACAGAATGGCCTGCAGTTGTCTCAGAAGGTGGGAAGGCATCCTTATTTTCCTGAAATCAATCAGATGCCTGCCGTGGGGGCTTGGATCTGTGTTTGGTGAGAGGTTTTCAGTGGAGAAGGTGTCAGAAGAATCCCAGGCATTATTACAGCCTCAGGAAATACTCTAGGGTGTTTGGTTTAAAATATAGGGGGATAAAAGGAAAGGAAAGAAAAAGAGAAGGTTTTGATTGTAGTTTTGATTCTAGATTGGAAGGATTCTCTTCTGAGCAGGCGGGCAGGGGGGGGCTTTTGAAAAAACCATATGATTAGGTAACAAGGAATTTTACGTCAAGTAAGAAATCGTGAACAAGACCACAGATTTAAAGGGGGGCACAGGGTGGGTTAGATTTACAAGGAGCTACAAGGAACTCAATATTAACTGTGCGGTGTCTGAAGTCTTCCCGGCAGCATCACAGCAGAGCGAGCTACAAGCTACCCCGACTACCGAGGACTTCGCCCCGCCGGGGTTCTGGGGTCCCAGAGTCCGGTGATATCCGGGAAGAAAGTCCCTGAGGCCTCTTCCTCCCACCCCCACCACCCCCACCCCAAAGATTTGGCTAGAGCTCGACTCTGCTCTGGAAATCAGAGAAACTGAAGAACTGAAGTGCTTGCTATAAAGTACTAACTGCTAGCCTGGAGAGGAGGAAGAGGGAAGGGGCAGGGAGAAAGGTAAAGCAAGTAAAAAGCGGCTTGTTTCGAGAAAGGCCACGTACGGGACTCTGCGGTCGGAGAGGCTGGCCAGAGGGTTTCCATCTTGGAACCCACTCTGGGTGGTGTTTGCGCCTTGCCTTCGGTCACAGACCCTCCGATGACACCCCAAGGGTTTCCATGCCTCACTGGTGCCTGCTGTGACATGGTCGCAGGCCACAGGCTAGATCAGGCCCGCGGGGGCGAATTCGCAAGTGCCTGGGAAAGATGAGCGAGTGGCTTTGCGGACTTCTTCGTGCAGCTGACAACAGGAGGGCGCCGGGTTAGAACAACTCGGCCAAAGCGATCTGAACTCTCTCCCTACAGGTCAGCCGGCGCTGAGCCGACCTGGGCGGGGGGCTGTGTTTACAGACACTTGCCTTTGTTTATAGCACTGGGAGGTGGGGGGAGGCGCGCCCTGCTTTTCTGCGGCTCTCTCAATCCTTGTGGGTCTGGCCGACTGGCTGCCCCTCTCTGGTCTCCAGCCTCCTTTATTTTACACTCTCAGGAGAAAGGTCCTAGAGGAGAAAGAAAGAAGTCCACCAAATTGATGGGGTGGATAAATGGTGGTGGAAGCTGCAAGGTTATAAAAACAAGAACAGAAAGAAGTTATGTTCACCACACACGTGTGCATGTGAGTGCCTCGGGTAGCTGATCTTCCCATCTGGGCCCTAATGCACTTAGGCTGGTTTAACACTTTTTCTGGTTTATTAAGCACCCACAGAAGGGAACCCAAAGATCCTGGAGCACTGTCACTATGCTCCCGCTTGCTAATACGCAGGCATTTTGACCTATGCTCCAAGCACCTGGCTTAGGCAGGGCTCAAGTCTGCTGGCCTCCTCTCCCTCCTGCCTGGCCTTCTCATCCTCACTGCCAGCAGCACCAAGCCTGGGTGCCCTGTGTGCTTTGCCAGTCCACATTGCTGGGAAGCCCAGCAGACTCAATTCCCCAGACCACAGAAGGGCTCCAGCGACCTCTCATCTTCAGCAACCAAACCTGCTAACTGAAAGCATATTCCAGTTGGCCAAAGACCAACATCGGGACACCCCAAATTATCCCTTCCCTCAGCAGACCAACACCCCAGTACCCCAAGGCTCCCTGCCACCCAGCATTTCTACTGCGAGTAGTCCAAGTTCTGAGCAGTTAAGCAGCCATTTCTTTTGCATTTCTGTGCTTTTCTTCTCAATTTGTTCTTTTTTAACTACTTTTCTTCTCTGTTAAAAAAAAAAGAGTTTCCAACCTCCTGCTTGCCAGCCTGCCTAAAAGACCTCTGTTTTAATTGCTTGGATAATGTAGTTGCTGCCATTTTGTTAAGAGCAATCACTCCTGCAGCGAAATCACAAGCCCTCTAGACAGGCCGGAGCCGACAAAAATGTAGGATTTGACGTTAAAAGCTAAATGGGAAGCCAGGGCGGCGGAAGGTAAATTGATGGTAGATCTGGCTGTCAGGGCTTGGTCCCAGACTGCTGCGCAGGCCGAAAGCCTGATAACCTTGGAGCAGCAGCAGGCAAGGGATCAGCCATTGTGGGTGTGGGTGCGCATGCAGACCACTCTCAACTTGGGAAGGAATCTGGCAAAGTCCAGATTGCGGTCTATCACACTCTCAATTTTCCAGGACTTTCTCTCCAGCCTGGACACTGACAGCAGCTTTGGGGGCTTTTTCGGGTTGAGAACTCCCAGGGGACTTGGAGTTCTGCTTCCCTTTCAAATCAGGAGGGAAGCCTCACTCTGAGAGCTGGACCCACGGGAAGCTCCAGAATCCGGTGTGTCAGCCAGTGGGTTGGAACATAGAACAGCGACGGGCCTCTTAGCCTAAGCTGCCCTCAGGTAGAGGAGGCCTGAGGCCTGGTTTGCTTTTGTTTCAGCGATGCCAGGAGGGTATCCACTAAGCCCCCTTGGGAAAAGTGTACACATGAGTTCAGGGTAGATGGTGGCCTGATTCCCTTCCCCTCACCTCTGACTGTGGGCTGCTGCCCGCAGGAGAGGAAGATCATGATGCTAGTAGGTAGCCTTTTAAGCGTATTTATGTAGGGGGAGATCCGGAGCCAGATGCCAGCAGAATTAACAGGACGGGGTATGGAGGAGAATGAGCCCAAATGCAAAGCCACCTGGAGCCAAAGGAGGCCTACAAGCTCCTTCCCAGATTAGCTTTGCAGAGAGAACCCAGACACGTTGCAGTAGCCTAGAGTTGGTGTGCAAGGGACAGTAAACAGAACAAGTAATGCTGTGAAAGCTAAGACTGCATTTGTAGAATCGGTCTACAAAAAGCTCCGTTCTTCGAGCTTTAACCAAACCTGTTTCCAGCTCTGCTCACCGTTTTCTCTTCCACAACTGCTTAACATTGTCTCTGCTTCGCCTTGTGCCTGAGTTCCACCCACGCAGCTTGAGTTACAAAAAGGACGGGATCCTGGGTTCCCAAGGGAGATGGACTGAAAGGAGGCTTGTGGTGAGCCCGAGAGAGACCTGTGTCTGGACCCTGGGCACTGCCTATCTACGTATTCATAATCTGTTGACCGGAGGGAAAACATTCCTTTCCTGAGGCCCAGCCATTAAGACTCAGTTCTCCGCACAAAGAGAGGGCGCTAATGAGTCTCCCTGAAGCGCAGGACTCCGGTCCTTCCATCTCTCAGAGAGAAAAATCCAGGAGCAGGGCTAAGAACGCGGCTGGAAGCCCCAGCAACCCTCTCCCTACAAGTCTCAGTCCAGTGGAGCGCTGCTGTAGGAAATAGGGGGCGAGGGCACGCCTATGTATTTTTTAACTTTAAAAAAAGGGAGAGGGAGAGAGGGGCAGCTCCAGGAGAGGAAACCAATCCCACGCTTCCGGGGGCCGGACAGTTCTGAGAGCGCCGCCTTATCACTCAGCCGGCGTGCAATGTTACAACAGTCTGTCCACTTCTAATGAGCCTGTAGCTGCTAAGCGGCTTCGGCCTGGCAGCTAATGGAGGGTAAAGTACTTTGAGTATCTGACTTCCGTGCGCACAGAAGTTGGAAGCTTCTGTCCCTATTCTCGCCACACCACCTTGCCCAAGTCAGTTTCCATCCAAGAACACTCACCCTACCTTTCCTCCCAAACGCGTCCCCTATACGCACAATCCCTCCGAACTCTCCAGCCGTTTGGGCCGCTTTGATGATCAGATGGTAGAGCCCTGATTACAAATTTATTCCCGGCCGATTCGTCCGTCTTTATCTGCGCTATTAGGGACATCTGGGAGCGATTAGCGCCGCGCCCTCGCCCGGCCGCTCGCCTATCTCGCTGCTGCGGGGCCAGAGTCCCACTGACGTCAGGGCAGACGGCTCGGAGCCATCCCGGGCGAGCTGGGTGTAATCGGCGGCTGCGCGGCCAAGTCCTGCCTGGGCCAGGCCGGCAGCTGGAACGCGCCGCCCGCCTGCGTGCAGGGATTTTCTAAATATGTATTTTTAGCCCAGAGGACGGTTTTGTTTTCCTTCTTTGGGGCGAGGAGGGGCCAAATGACGTATATAATGCCCTCTCCCCACTTTAAATTTTCCTACCGGCTAAGTCTCGTGCATTCCTTTTGGGGAAAAAACGCCCAGGTTTGGGCCTGATCAGCGGGAGCTTCTTTGCCATCTGTGACTGAGGGCACCGCACTTCTACATCAAGAGCTGCAGCCTGGGACGCAAATGCCAGTCCCGCTGAGGGTGGGGCGCTGGCCTTCGTGGGCTCGGGCTGCTCTTCAGACGGCTCCTAGGTCTGCCCAACCCACCTGGGCACCTAGGCCCCTACAGCCTTCATACAATGGTGGGAGCATCTCCCTGGTGAGAGGGCTGGCAGAAGCTGATTACAGAACGGTGTCACTGCACCTGCTATTTAAACCTAACGGATCTAGTGAGCTGCTAACACCTCTGGAGGGCAGGCACGCTCGCTGGCAACTTTGTCCTATACCGTGTTGCAGTGTTCAGAGTGCAGGTTAGCT